TCTAAAACCTGTACTCTGCCGTCGAGTAGGGTCTAAAACATGTATTCTGCCTTCAAACAGGGTCTAAAACCTGTACTCTGCCTTCGAGTAGGGTCTAAAACCTGTACTCCTATGTCGAGTAGGGTCTAAAACCTGTACTCTGCCTTCGAGTAGGGTTTAAAACCTGTACTCTGCCTTCGAGTAGGGTCTAAAATCTGTACTCTGCCGTCGAGTAGGGTCTAAAACCTGTACTCTGCCTTCGAGTAGAGTCTAAAACCTGTACTCTGCCGTCCAGTAGGGTCTAAAACCTGTACTCTGCCGTCCAGTAGGGTCTAAAACCTGTACTCTGCCGTCGAGTACGGTCTAAAACCTGTACTCTGCCGTCCAGTATGGTCTGAAACCTGTACTCTGCCTTCGAGTAGGGTCTAAAACATGTACTCGGCCGTCGAGAAGGGTCTAAAACCTGTACTCTGCCGTCGAGTAGGGTCTAAAACCTGTACTTAGCCGTCCATTAGGGTTTAAAACCTGTACTCTGCCGTCGAGTAGGGTCTAAAGCTTGTACTCTGCTGTCCAGTAGGGTCTAAAACCTGTACGCTGCGGTCGAGTATGATCTAAAACCTGTACTCTGCCGTCGAGTAGGGTCTAAAACCTGTACTCGGCCGTCGAGTAGGGTCTATAACCTGTATTCTGCCATCGAGTAGGGTCTAAAACCTGTACTCTGCCGTCGAGTAGGGTCTAAAACCTGTACTCTGCCTTCGAGTAGTGTCTAAAACCTGTACTCTGCCGTCGAGTAGGGTCTAAAACCTGTACTCTGCCGTCGAGTAGGGTCTAAACCTGTACTCTGCCGTCCAGTAGGGTCTAAAACCTGTACTCTGCCTTCGAGTAGTGTCTAAAACCTGTACTCGGCCGTCGAGAAGGGTCTAAAACCTGTACTCTGCCATCGAGTATGGTCTAAAACCGGTACTTTGCCGTCCAGTAGGGTCTAAAACCTGTACTCTGCAGTCCAGTAGGGTCTAAAACCTGTACTCTGCCGTCGAGTATGGTCTAAAACCTGTACTCTGCCGTCCAGTAGGGTCTAAAGAAGGAACAAAAATGGAAGAGGGAATGCTGAAAGAAGAGGGAAGGGTCTAAACTGAAGGCTGAAAGAAGAAATGTTAATAAGTTTTTAATTTGCTGTCTACCGATTTCTAAATCTGTGAGAAAATAACAGGGCCAGACACACGTATTAACAAAAATAAGCTAGTTTCCTAAAAGCCGTTCCCTGTCAAAACAATACTACTATAAAAGCCCTTTAGAATACCTTCCTTAATACCCCCATTGTTCTCTAGATAAAATAGTACATACACGTATCTATAAACTATGGGTCATTTCACGAGACAAGTGACACCACCACCACCACCACCCACCACGCAGCACACACCTCGACCCATTCCACCCTTCCCCAACCCTGACATCCACACTCCACCTCTCCCCTCCTCCAACCCTGACATCCAAACTCCTCCCTTTCCCCCACTCCAACCTAGACATCCACACTCCACCTCCCCCCTCCTCCAACCCAGACATCCACATTCTACCCCAGATATCCACACTCCTCCCCCCCTCCAACCCAGACATCCACACTCCACCTCCCCCTCCTCCAACCCAGACATCCACATTCCACCCCAGATATCCACACTCCACCTCCCCCCTCCTCCAACCCAGACATCCACATTCCACCCCAGATATCCACACTCCTCCCCCCCCTCCAACCCATACATCCACACTCCACCTCCCCCCTCCTCCAGCCCAGACATCCACATTCCACCCCAGATATCCACACTCCACCTCCCCCCCTCCTCCAACCCAGACATCCACATTCCACCCCAGATATCCACACTCCACCTCCCCCCTCCTCCAACCCAGACATCCACATTCCACCCCAGATATCCACACTCCTCCCCCCTCCAACCCAGATATCCACACTCCACCTCCCCCCTCCTCCAACCCAGACATCCACATTCCACCCCAGATATCCACACTCCACCTCCCCCGTCCTCCAACCCAGACATCCACACTCCACCTCCCCCCTCCTCCAACCCAGACATCCACACTCCTCCCCCCTCCAACCCAGACATCCACACTCCTCACCCCTCCAACCCAGACATCCACACTCCTCCCCCTCCACCCCAGACATCCACACTCCTCCCCCTCCACCCCAGATATCCACACACCTCCCCCTCCACCCCAGACATCCACACTCCTCCCCCTCCAACCCAGACATCCACACACCTCCCCCTCCACCCCAGACATCCACACTCTTCCCCCTCCACCCCAGACATCCACACTCTTCCCCCTCCACCCCAGACATCCACACTCCTCCCCCTCCACCCCAGACATCCACACACCTCCCCCTCCACCCCAGACATCCACACTCCTCCCCCTCCACCCCAGACATCCACACACCTCCCCCTCCACCCCAGACATCCACACTCCTCCCCCTCCAACCCAGACATCCACACTCCTCCCCCTCCACCCCAGACATCCACACTCCTCCCCCTCCTCCAACCCAGACATCCACACTCCTCTACCCCCTCCATCCCAGACATACACACTCCTCTACCTCCTCCAACCCAGACATCCTCACTCCTCCAACCCAAACATCCACCTTCCTTCCTCCCCAACGCAGATATCCGCATTTCTTATTTTTTAGGAGAGAGTAAAGAAGATGGTGAAGTAGAGGTGAAGGGCAAGGGTTTGGAAATTGGAAAATATAACAGTCGAGCTGCCCGCCTTATTGACGCGGTGTGTGTGTGTTTGGGAGCTAAACTAAGCTCGATATCTTTCGTCCGGGAGTGGCGAGTGTAAGTTTCCTTACATACTGTATATTTCAACGTGTATAGACGATTAGACGTAGCATTCATATATACTCAGGTGCCTGTGTACATCTGTTAACATTCTCTTTACGGATCTATTGTTATTATTATTATTATTATGGGGGGAGGGGATTGCGGGGGGAGGTGGGAGGGAAAGGGTTTCAGAAGCTCTACTGCCCTAGTCCGGCCTTGTTGCCAGGCCAGTGTTTCATTTTTTAATTAATTCATGTATTATGGGGGGGGCTTGGTTTCCATTCAGAAGATTCATGCTCTTGGGCCACTGGCTATAGGGGGTTGAGGCGTCTCATCGTGAAGTAGCCGTGGACTAGAACTTTATACAAGTGTAGTTGTATATTCGTTCTAAGGCTACGCAGTCTTCTGTTTAGCCATTTATTTACAGACCCGGTAGCTGCCGAATACCCCTTTATGTATATGTATAAATAGAAATATCTATCTGTTCAAGGTTAGAGTGCAGAGAGGGGGGAAAAAAGGAGATTAGACGGGTAGCGAGATCAGGGAGGAGAATGAGGGAGAGAGGCGAGAAAGAGGAAGGGGACGAAGGGATGTGGAAAGTAGAGGAGTGAAGGAGCGGAGAGAAAGAGAGAAACCGACCTGGGCACCAAGAGGCACCCTTTCTATTATCTCAACATAAGTTAGAGTTCCATTGTTCAGTGCAGAGTTCAACTTAGTGCATTATGTTGGCATTATTTTTAGTGACTGGCCCAACCCAGACCTCTACAATCCTTCACCCCTTCCCCCAAACAATCCTCTTCCCTAGCGCACACCTCTCCATAGTCACCCAGACACTCTCACCTAGATCTCCAATCATACTTATCCACCCTCCCACCCAGACCTTCAAGTACCTCTATACACCTCCGCAACACAAATCTGCATGCTTCTGCATTTTCCCCATCGCTTCCCCTCCCACACTCGCCTCTAACCAAGACCTCCACCACACTCCCACATACAGTGGTACTACAAACTACCAGCATTTAAAGTACAACCCATCCTAAATTTACGGGCTCACTATAGCCTGTGCTACATGGACATTTCGTTCAGAGTAGCTAAATCTAAAACAACCTAAAATGAATGTATTAACAGTAACCAAAAGCACCTGTAGGTATTATTTCAGGAGGATGCGTTGATAGATATGATGTGGAACTTGCAAGACTTTAATGTAACTGGTTTAATCATAAATCAGATTCACCGTGAATTTTATCGGGAGATATATTGGAATACTTGCTGATGTTGAAGGTCATCCATAGTCTTGCACATTCCGCTGATGGTATGATGTTCGTGTGTACCTCGGTGCTCACCTTCATTTTGTTTACAGTCTCTTACCTTGTTTTTTTTGCTTCTGAACTCCTGCAGCAGCTTATCTGACCAGTCATGTAGGTGGCTTATCTTCTATATCTTTTAGCAGTACGGGAATGTATAAAAAGTAGAGAAGCGTGTATAGAAATATTGAGAATCTAATTTTATTTTATTTTTAATCTTGCTTTGGAATGGCGCAGTATATAATTGCCATCAGAAAGGGAATTTTGATTACGCGATGCAAGGGAAAGTGTAGAGGTGGTATACACTCCTGGTGCATCCACTGCGAGGATTGTATACCACTACAGTGGACGTACTGAGTAACTAGCGATACAAGAGCCAAAAAATTAATTCTGTCATAAGAATATACAGTACTCGTGAGGATAGGTTACTAGTCTGTACCGTTGGGTATATTTACCTCGGGGAAAAACATTCCATTGAGGATATATACTTATGACATGTATTTTACTTGCAAGGAAATACATACAATCGGGAATATACAACTCTGGTATAGGGGGTGGATAATTATTTGGCCAAGGCCAGACTATAACGGGCGCTGACTTAACAAGTCAAGTTGTTATAATTCTGTATATCATGATAGACATCTATATCTGATGATAGCTACATCTTGAGAAAATTCATGACGGTGTCCGTTTCTTCATGCATTTTTTTTGCATTTAGAATCTACTTTTTTGTTAGAATAGAAGATTTTTTTGTTTAAATGATTTCTCCTGCACGTAGTTTTGGGTCAAATGGTGTACTGAGAGTGACTCTTCAGTTACTCTGATGACCAGTTACTTCTCCTGTAGTTGCATGCACTAGTAACACTTAAGGTATAGGGAAACTGCACCGGGGTTCACTACTAACACTTTATTTAATACAATTTGTCCACTTTTAAGTAACTGCCGCTCTACTTACATAAGCTAATCGGTTATCCATGCTGGGGCGGAAGTGGAGTGGCGGACACCTTCCCCGTCAGGTGAGGGGGAAAAAAAAGATGCCTCCCTCGTCAGGTGTGAGGTGGGAAGGGATGCCTCCATCAGGAATGAAAGTGGATAGGAGAGTGATGCGTCCATCGTCTAGGGAAAGGGATAGAAGAGGTTCTCCCTTCGTCAGTTGGTGGGAAGGGAGATGTTCTCTTGCAGGAGCAACATGCTCCCGTAAGGAGCATGTTGGAGAAAAGTAATTTACAATACAACCTTAATGCTAGTGAAATTTTAGATAAATGGTAGAAGTATATCTTCAAAGAAGTCAAGGCGCTGCCCAGACATGTCTTAGTGAGATTCCACGGAGGGAGTGAGTGAAGGGGGTAAAGAGGGGGTTTGGGCCCCCGGCTACGCTCAGGACCGGCCAGGGAGCCGCCAGACCCCCACCACGTCACCGCCGCCCCCACCAGGAATGCGTGGTGTTCCCGGCTGGTGACGGTGACCGTGGTTGCGGCCTGTAGCACGGATGGGGGCCGTGCCCGCGACGCAAGCGGCACCGCAAGTGGCAGCCGCGGGCCGTGAGCACAGATGAGGATCCCTGAGTAAACTGTATACACACATACACAATCTCACATTCACACATACACTGCTCCTGCACTAGTGACCAGCTGTTTGGCACTCCTGGCACTCGTCGCGATGACCTCCCACACACGTCATCCGCCGCTCACCAGACAACTATCCTAACCACTGACTAACCGTAAGTACTTCATCCTAACAAAAATAGTCTAATATTCCAAAACTATTACATTAAAAAAACTCACAAGGGATAAAACAATTTGTATCTGGACTCTGGTTTTTAAACGACACTTGACACACAAAACGCATAAACCTGGAATTTTTTTTAATTAAACACTTCAGGTACAAAGAACATTTTTCCAAACAGGGTATAACTTGTAGATGTTTAATAGCAATATTGCATTCCACATTGTCAACACTTCCCAAAACTTGCTATGCATTTTTCTCGTCTCGTTAATCATCATAACCTTTAATGCAGTAACGAGTCTATGAATGGCTGGCAAATGCAGACTGCCTCCTGCAGCAGGCCCGTCGACAGGCCATCTAGTAAGGTCCTGTAGGCCATCGGGTCAGGTCCTGCAAGCCAGTAGGAACCTTAAACCTTTACACAGTCTCAACACTCGTAATCGCACTAGTCAACACTTGTCAACCAAAAACAACACAAACAGAAACAATCAACACATTAACAGAATCATCGCGGAATCCACTGTTTTGAGGGCAGCTGATTGGCCCCGAGTGGGCGGTCATCCCGGCGAGTGGGTGGGTGGGTTGGTTGGTTGGTTGGTTTGGGCGGGTCCGTCCAAGGATGTCATGAAGAGGTGTTCCCAACCACTCTGCTGAGGAAGGCGGCCAAGGTGATTGTTGGTGCGCTGGTCCTTAGTTATTTCCTTCACCGAGCAGTGGAGGGTGCCTCGATTGACAGCTTAGGCCAAAGACGCCTCTATATAAGCTTGCCATGGCCACGTCATGGCCTGCCATGGCCACGTCATGGCCTGCCTTGGCCACGTGTGGGCCAAGCGCGATCACCCAACTTGAGTATTACATTCATGAGATCACCACTTGGTTTTCTTACGTTACACTGACCGGACAGAAGAGAAAACAGGAATATGCCATTTGCTCTCACACTGAACATGACTGTACAATCATCACACACAAAATAATTACATAAATAAATACAAGTAACCCTGATTCAGGGTTCAGCATTATCTTTTAAGCACTACAATGACTTTATTACAAAGTAACAACAGAGTCAAATGTTGTTGCACTTGACCAAGGGTTTGAAGGTGGAGAGAGAGAGAGCGCGCGCGCACGCAAGAGTTCTCAGACGAACGCACTCGTCTGCTTCATGCATTGTCCAACGCTGCTGCTTGCTCTTTCGCCGCCCCCCAGGGTACGAAACCCCCCCTTTCCCAAGGGGGACCGGGGGACAGCCCAGTATCACCCCTTAGTGAGCCTGGATCCTCCATGATGGCGGAGTGGGGATGTGGGGTGGTCAAGCGAGGGGCATCTTAGCTGAAGCGAGCCCTGGGAGCCTGAGCGAAAAGCACTCCCTGGTACAGTATACCGTTGATCTCCATACTCACTACCAAACTCTGGTCCTGGCTCCGGCCGTCTCCTGCAACACAAGTCACTCCTTAGTAACTCAAATAAGAAAATAACTCAAATAAGGAAAATGTATATATTTTTTATGCTTTAAGCTTGCTGTCGCACCCACCTTGAAGGCACTACGGGCTCACCATAGCCCGTGCTACTTGGAACTTATTGTTTCAGGTAGCGAATCTTTAACAACAACAACCCACCTTGAGGACCCAACAACAGGTACATCTGTCATCAACAGACACGCCAGTAGCGTAACAGCAAACCAATGACGTAAAAAAAAATTGCCCTATCAGAAGCTATTATAAAAAAATATGTTCTAACATCAAGAAATACTATTCCCATAAAATTAATTATAGCATCTTGGATCCTTAAAATAGCTCAGTGTCTAGGCTTAACAAAGATTCGTGTGCGTTGAATATGTGCTGGACTGTCTTCTACAAGAGTGACTATCTTCTTGAGGTTATCTTGAGATGATTTCGGGGCTTTAGTGTCCCCGTGGCCCAGTCATCGACCAGGCCTCCACCCCCAGGAAGCAGCCCATGACAGCTGACTAAAACCCAGGTACCTATTTTACTGCTAGGTAACAGGGGCATAGGGTGAAAGAAACTCTGCCCATTATTTCTCGCCGGCGCCCGGGATCGAACCCGGGACCACAGGATCACAAGTTCAGTGTGCTGTCCGCTCGGCCGACCGGCTCCCCCTCCGGACTGCAATAACTGCTTGCATAAAGCCATTGCGGCCTTGGATCCCAGCTTTATAAACAAAATTTAGGGTAAATCAACTCGTATTAGTGTGTGTATCTTGAGTGTTTTATACTAAGTATATTGAAATGTTTGAAATTAAATAAGTGGCATTATTGTGTATAAATAATTGTGGGATTCAAAATTGTGAAACATTTCATAAAAATTACAGTGATTACAATACAAGCACTCACCCCTGGATGTGATCTTGATATTAGCACCGGGTTGACCCGGGGGCCCGGGCGTGGTGGGCGGGGGCAGACGTGGGTCGTGGGCGTCCTCATGCTGGGCGGGTCTCTTGGCCGCGGGAGGTAACGGACTCTCCTCCAGGCGGCTGCGTATATCATTGCGTAGGTCGCTGCGTAGATCGTTCCGTAGATCGTTGCGTAGGTCATTACGTAGATCATTGCGTAGATCGCTGCGAATATCGTTGCGTAGGTCTGAATTCTCCTTGACTCGCCCCGGCCGCTGCAAGCAGAACGCCTGATAACCTCGGTTATCAAGAAGCAGCGGCGCTTCCTAAGAGACGTGAGACAGGCTTAGAGGGAGCACATAAAAGGGGACACTATAGAGGGAACAAAGGAGGCATTTAAGAGGGGACACAATAGAGGGAACATAGGAGGGCACTTAAGAGAGGACCCACCACACATTTAAAACAAGATTAAATTCTAAGAAACATATAACTCAGATTTTTAAAAATTGACCCAAAAAAGCAACAAAAATATAACTTTGAGTTTTTTTTGTCCATTAAACAAATTAATAATTTAATTTAATTTAGAAGTACCATGGCTACGTGGCTAGGGAAGCAGAGCACACGCTAGTATTGACTTTTACCTCGAGTATTTCAGATAACGACATGCAAACGTGAGGTTCGTAAGAGCACCAGCCTCTTTCGGGTAATCGAAGATACTCACCTCGTCTTTTACTTCCAAGTTGAGTGCTTCCTTCTGCGGCGGGAAAGGAACGCCGCCCATGGGGTGGTGTGGGGGCGGGTGGAGTTTTGGTCCCTCGTCCTCGTGCTGGAAGCCTCCGCCGCCTCCAAGACCCTGGTTGTAGAGCTTCCACATGGTGAGTCTCGTGGCCTCCAGCAGCGCCTCCTGCGACCCTGGGGGGGACCCGCCCCGACCTGAGAAAGACCGAATAATTAAAACTACATTGTCTTCAACACATCTAGTCGCGTGGAACGGTGGAAGCAAAACTTAATCTTCCAGTCAAATGTTTTACGAACCCAACTAGCAATGCTTCCACTAAATCGGTCAAAGGGCAATCACAATTCGTCTAAAGAAAGATGAGTGCGTCTGCCGTAGACGACGCTGGTAATGACACGCTTCTTACCTTATCCAAACAAACATGAGCGAGTGTAAACAGACAGTAGCGCGTGTCCGGTAATGTAAACAATCTCTGGCTACATCTCTAAGGTGTCCAGACGCACATGAGCGGCCGAGAACAAACTGCACACACTTCGAATCTACATAAACAAACAGTAATAACACATCTCTAACTTGTACAAACAAGCTCTTAGCATGTGTACACAAACTGTAGCACGAGTCAACAAAGAGGACAGGCGTGCAGCAGTGTGAGGAGGGGGGGGGGGGGGCGTGTCGGTGGCTGGTAGTAGGGGCAGCAAGAAACAACGCGAGGGCGGAGCTTATGACGCGCTTTCCCCGCCCACACACGCCCATCCCCGCCCACAAACGCCCATCGCCGCCCACTTCCATTACTGACATTTAATAACTACATGTTGGATTAATGATACACACAGACACACACACTGGAGGCTGCAAGAGGCCATGAATCACCGTCAATGCAGGATGCTGTCCGAGCCTTACTCTGCCTCTCTCCTAATGAACCATTATTTACCCCTCACACTTAACCCATGAGCCATAAAGCCTCGATCTCCGGCACTGCGCGCGCCGACGCCCACTACGACCAGGGCTGGATGGAGAATAATGTTTTTGTTTACATCTCCCGGAGAGTAATTTTCTTTGATTGACGGTACAGGTGCCACGAACTCAAAGGGGAAATGCAAACTAATATTGGATGAGTTGGCATCCCAGCCCAAGAACGCGCCCACTGTACCCTCTACACCACTGAATACAATCTTTGATATTCAAAAAATCCCTTAGCAAATGACGCAATCAATATATCTAACGAAGAAGCAAAGCACCACGACCCCTGAGTATACCCGCCTCCCAGCACTACCACGACGCCTGAGTATACCCGCCTCCCAGCACTACCACGACGCCTGAGTATACCCGCCTCCCAGCACTACCACGACGCCTGAGTATACCCGCCTCCCAGCACTACCACGACGCCTGAGTATACCCGTCTCCCAGCACTACCACGACGCCTGAGTATACCCGCCTCCCAGCACTACCACGACGCCTGAGTATACCCGTCTCCCAGCACTACCACGACGCCTGAGTATACCCGCCTCCCAGTACTACCACGACGCCTGAGTATACCCGCCTCCCAGCACTACCACGACGCCTGAGTATACCCGCCTCCCAGCACTACCACAACACAGTATACCCGCCTCCCACCACAACACAGTATACCCGCCTCCCAGCACTACCCCAACACAGTATACCCGCCTCCCAGCACTACCACAACACAGTATACCCGCCTCCCACCACTACCACCAACACAGTATACTCGCCTCCCACCACTACCACCAACACAGTATACCCGCCTTCCACCACTACCACCAACACAGTATACCCGCCTCCCACCACTACCACAACACATTATACCCGCCTCCCCCCCCCACTACCACAACACAGTATACCCGCCTCCCCACCACTACCACAACACAGTATACCCGCCTCCAGCACTATCACAACACAGTATACCCGCCTCCCCCCCACTACCCCAACACAGTATACCCGCCTCCCACCACTACCACAACATAGTATACCCGCCTCCCACCACTACCACAACACAATATACCCGCCTCCAGCACTACCACAACACAGTATACCCGCCTCCCACCACTACCACAACACAGTATACCCGCCTCCCACCACTACCACCAACAGAGACATGAGAGAGATCTGGTGATATATTAATGTGTCTCCGTAACTAGATAAAGAATCCGTAGTGCATTCTGACACGCTTGACAGGAATTCAACCAAGCTGTGCAAAGATTTTTTTACGTGGGACTTGTGGAAGGTCATAGGCAATATGAGGTTCTAGCTCCTGTGCCCTGCCTTACTTATAACAGAACGGTAATTGCTTTAGAATAAACCCAGATGAAAACATCTGCAGATCAACGTATGGACACGAGAAGTCTACGACTCTTCTACCAGTAAATATAAATATTGCCTGAACATACTGCCGATATTGTTCGATATGAACAATATCAGAGGCCGAAGATATAATAGTGTAGGTTGTACAGGATCAACCAAACTGTAATGTCCATGTGTTCCTGCGGGCCGCGACCAGAAACGACCCCACAGATCACAGCGGTTCCCTGTCCTAAGAGAGAGAGTTGGCGGTGATAGTATTAATGGGACGCCATTAACCCACCCCATCCCCTTTGAGAGGGATCGAACACCCTTTAACCGACTCCATCCCCCTGGAAAAGGGATACCCATTATTGGGCGTCTCCTAGTGTGGTCCTGTGGGAACCATCATGTGCTTTTATGACAACTAATTGTAATGCTTCTAGTGCGTCATCGTGTAAAAAGTACATCTGTTGTCACACCGGAACCACTCGCGTCAATGTAATTCCCTAAAATGACTATGGCACTCTAGTGTCATGTTTAGATATACCATGTAACCGAGGCCCTAATGTATACAATAATGGTTCAGTCATATATACGTCCCGGTATATAGTGCTACTGAACTACAGAAGCATCCAATCATGTAAGAATAGCGCACTACTTAGGTCTTACTGGGAAGACAGCAACACTCGCCAATCAATTCTGATGGACTGGTCCAGACCAGACTGCCGTCAGACCCAGTTATGCTTGTCTCCTCCGGACATCAGGTCCGGACATACAGATCTTCCTATAACCTGTTGGCTCGGACCGAAACATTGCGGCAAGAGCCGAAGACCTGGAACCTGCAACTTCTCTCTCTCATTAATCTTGTCCAAATTGATATGTAAATATGTGCCTCAACCCGGGCTCCCAGACTCCTCCAGGCTGCGGTGGAACCTTTCCAAGGCTGCAGAAGAATCCATCCATGGCTACCTCCAACCCGTCCTCTCATTTTTTTTTTTTGTTATGGTCTCCAATGTACAAATTACAATTGAAATTGAAATTTACAAAGTACTATAAAAAGTAACGGTTCATAAAAATGCGTCGGTAGGTTAGGTGGGTGGCTTGGGTTCAAACGTTTCTTGTTAGCCTGAGAGTTTGTACGTTGTGGCCCATCAAGAGAACGGGAGTTGTGGTGAAGACTGTATTCGTGTCTTAAGTTTTCTCGAGGAGACAGGCATTCCTCTACTTCCGGCGGCGTCCGTTATTATCCGCAGACCCCAAGAAAACTTCGTCGACATCTGACGTCCACTTGACCAATGCCGCGGCGATAACTGATGTTCACTACAGGTTCCCGGCGCCTCACTAACACTCATATGGGGTGTAACCCTCTCATATATAACCCTCCCCCCCTCGCTGCAGTCTGGCACAGACCTCCCCCCCCTCGCTGCAGTCTGGCACAGACCTCCCCCCCTCGCTGCAGTCTGGCACAGACCTCCCCCCCCCTCGCTGCAGTCAGGCACAGACCTCCCCCCCCTCGCTGCAGTCTGGCACAGACCTCCCCCCCCCTCGCTGCAGTCTGGCACAGACCTCCCCCCCCCTCGCTGCAGTCTGGCACAGACCTCCCCCCCCCCTCGCTGCAGTCTGGCACAGACCTCCCCCCTCGCTGCAGTCTGGCACAGACCTCCCCCCCCTCGCTGCAGTCTGGCACAGACCTCCCCCCCTCGCTGCAGTCTGGCACAGACCTCCCCCCCTCGCTGTAGTCTGGCACAGACCTCCCCCCCCCTCGCTGCAGTCTGGCACAGACCTCCCCCCCTCGCTGCAGTCTGGCACAGACCTCCCCCCCCTCGCTGCAGTCTGGCACAGACCTCCCCCCCCCTCGCTGCAGTCTGGCACAGACCTCCCCCCCCCTCGCTGCAGTCTGGCACAGACCTCCCCCCCTCGCTGCAGTCTGGCACAGACCTCCCCCCCCCTCGCTGTAGTCTGGCACAGACCTCCCCCCTCGCTGCAGTCTGGCACAGACCTCCCCACCCCTCGCTGCAGTCTGACACAGACCTCCCCCCCCTCGCTGCAGTCTGGCACAGACCTCCCCCCCCTCGCTGTAGTCTGGCACAGACCTCCCCCCCCTCGCTGTAGTCTGGCAAAGACCTCCCCCCCTCGCTGTAGTCTGGCACAGACCTCCCCCCCTCGCTGCAGTCTGGCACAGACCCCCCCCCCTCGCTGCAGTCTGGCACAGACCTCCCCCCCCTCGCTGTAGTCTGGCACAGACCTCCCCCCCTCGCTGCAGTCTGGCACAGACCTCCCCCCCCTCGCTGCAGTCTGGCACAGACCTCCCCCCCTCGCTGCAGTCTGGCACAGACCTCCCCCCCCTCGCTGCAGTCTGGCACAGACCTCCCCCCCCTCGCTGCAGTCTGACACAGACCTCCCCCCCCTTGCTGCAGTCTGGCACAGACCTCCCCCCCTCGCTGTAGTCTGGCACAGACCTCCCCCCCTCGCTGTAGACCCTCCCCCCCTCGCTGTAGTCTGACACAGACCTCCCCCCCTCGCTGTAGTCTGGCAAAGACCTCCCCCCCTCGCTGTAGTCTGGCACAGACCTCCCCCCCTCGCTGCAGTCTGGCACAGACCCCCCCCCTCGCTGCAGTCTGGCACAGACCTCCCCCCCCCTCGCTGTAGTCTGGCACAGACCTCCCCCCCCTCGCTGCAGTCTGGCACAGGCCTCCCCCCCCTCGCTGCAGTCTGGCACAGGCCACAGACCTCCCCCCCCTCGCTGCAGTCTGGCACAGACCTCCCCCCCCTCGCTGCAGTCTGGCACAGACCTCCCCCCCCTCGCTGCAGTCTGGCACAGACCTCCCCCCCTCGCTGCAGTCTGGCACAGACCTCCCCCCCCCGCTCGCTGCAGTCTGGCACAGACCTCCCCCCCCCT